TCAGTAGTCACCAGGGAAATACAAATCAAATCCGCAGTGAGATATTGTCTTACCTCAGTTACATTGGCTATTATAAAAAGGACAACAAAATAACAAATGCTAGCAAGGATGAAGAGATTAAGGAAATCATACACTGTTGGTGGGAATGGAAAACAGTATGGAAGATTCTCAAAAAAACTAAAACTAAAACTATCATATAATCCAGCAATCCCACTACTGGGTATATACCCAAAGGAAAAGAAGTCACTATATCAAAGGCACCCCTGTACCCCCATGTTTACTGCAGCACTGCTACCAATAGCAGCAATATGGAGTCAACCTAAGGGTCCATCAATGAATGAATGAATAAAGAAAATGAGGAATATATATATATATATATACACACACATATATATACATATATATACACACATATATATACACACACACATATACACACACACACACTAGCATACGATTTGGCCATAAAAAAAGTACAATCCTGTCATTTGCAGCAACATGGATGGAACTCGAGGTCATTAAGTGAAATAAGCCAGATGCAGAAAGGCAAATATCACATGTTCTAACTCATATGTGGGAGCTGAAATAGTTGATCTCATAGAGGTAGAGAGTAAAATGATAGTTATCAGAGACCAGGAAGCATGAAGGAGGTGGAGATGAAAAGAGGTAGGTTAATTGGAACAAACATACTGTTAGATAGAAGAACTAAGTTCTAATGTTTGCTGGCACAGTAGAATGACTATAGTTAATAACAATATATTGTATATTTCAGAATAGCTAGAAGAGAAGATTGGAAATGTTCCCAACACAAAGAAATGATAAATGATCAAGGTGATAAATATCTTGAACACCCTGATTTGCTCATTACACATTGTATGCATGTATCAAAATACCACATGTACCTAATAAATATGTACAATTGTTATATATTAATAGAAACTTTTTTAAAAAAGAAGTCCTTTTAGTTATGGGACACTTCAACTCTGTGGTGTGTTGGCAGCTGCCCCACATTTCAAAAAGAAGTGTCCTGGCCTAAGACATTAGAGGCACAGGAAGTATTAAGAAAGGACTTCCCAAATGTTGGACCAGCTCTATGGTATCTCATTCTTTTACTTCTGAGTGGGTAAAAAACTCAAGGAAACATGCACTTCCTCATGCCCTGCCTCCCTCTGAACTTCTGTCTTCCTTCATGGCCTGCTGCTCCTTGTCAGCTTTATTCTCCCTCTCCCCAATAGTTCCCAAAGGGAGAGAGATACCAAACCCATGCCCAGGATCAGAATGGGGGCAGCCTGGGCATTGCCTTTGCCCAAATCCTTCTCCTACAGCGCAGAAAGTCAGATTCTGTATTTTCTACAAAGGCTAACCCTGAAGACACCAGTGCTTTCCCTGTTCACCTGGTGACTGTCCATCATGAAGGAAAATTATACTCCTCATGATGGTTAATCTTATGTGCTAACTTGGCTAGTCCATGATACCCAGTTTTTGGTCAAATACAAGTCTGGATGTAGCTGCCAAGGTATTTGATGTGATTAATATTTAATTCAGTAGACTTTTAGTAAAGCAGACTATTCTCCATAATGTGGATGAGCCATATCCAATCCGTTGAAGACTTTATGAGAAAAGACTGATGTCTCCCGAGGAGGGAAGAAATCTTCCCCCAGTACGCCTTTGGACTCAAGGCTACAACATCAACTCCTCTCTGGGTCTCCAGCCCACTGTCCTGCCTGTAGATTCGTATTTGGGTTAGCTAGCCTTCACAACTGTGTGCGCCAGTTCCTTAAAATAAATACCCCACCCTTGTATACACACACATACATTCTTTTTTTAAAACTTTTATTTTAGGTTCTGGGGTACATGTAAAAATTTGTTACATAGGTTAATTTGTGTCACTGGGGTTTGTTGTACAGATTATTTCATCACTCAGGTATTAAGCCCAGTACCCAATAGTTATCTTTTCTGTTCCTCTCCCTCCTCCCACCCTCCTCACTAAGTAGACCCAAGTATCTGTTGTTTTCTTCTTTGTGTTAATGAGTTCTCATCATTTAGCTCCCACTTATAAGTGTGAACTTGCAGTATTTGGTTTTCTGTTCCTGCATTAGTTTGCTAATGATAGCAGCCACCAGTTCTACTCATGTCCCCACATAACACATGCTCTTGTTCTTTTTCATAGCTGCATAGTATACCACGATATATATGTACCACATTTTCTTCATTCAATCTGTCATTGATAGACATCTAAGTTAATTCCATGTGTTTGTTATTACTGTGATTTGTGCTGCAGTGAACATTCACGTGCATGTATCTTTATGGTAGAATGATTTATATTCCTCTGAATATAAACTCAGTAATGGTATTATTGGGTTGAATGGTAGTTCTGCTTTTAGCTCTTTGAGAAATCACCATACTGCTTTTCATAATGGTTGAACTAATTTACCAACAGTGTATAAGTGATCCCTTTTCTCCACAACCTTGCCAGCATCTGTTATTTTTTGACTTTTTAATAATAGTCATTCTGACTGGTGTGAGTGGTATCTCATTGTGGTTTTGATTTGCATTTATCTAACCATCAGTGATATTGAGCTTTTTTTCATAGATTGTTGGCCACATGTATGTCTTCTTTTGAAAAGTGTGTCTGTTCATGTCCTTTGCCCACTTTTTAATGGGGTTGCTTTTCTCTTGTAAATTTGCTTAAGTTCCTTATAGATGCTGGATGTTACATCTTAGATGCATAGTTTGCAAATATTTTCTCCCATTCTGTAGGTTGCCTGTTTATTGACAGTTTCTTTAGATGTACAGAAGCTTCTTAGTTTAATTAGATCCTATTTGTCAATTTTTTCTTTCGTTGCAATTGCTTTTGGTGTCTTTCTTATGAAATGTTTGTCCATTCCTATGTCCAGGATGATATTGCCTGCGTTGTCTTCCAGGATTTTTATAGTTTAGGGTTTTACATTTAAGTCTTTAATCCTTCTTGAGATGATTTTTGTATATGATGTAAGAAAAAGGTCCAGCCTTTATCTTCCGCATATGGCTAGTCAGTTATTCCAGCACCATTTGTTGAATAGGAAGTCTTTTCCCCTTTGCTTGTTTTTGTCAGCTTTGTTGGAGATCAGATAGGTGTAGGTGCGTTACCTTATTTCTGGGCTCTTTATTCAGTTCCATTGGTCTATGTGCCTGTTTTTGTACCAGCACTATGCTGTTTTGGTTACTGTAGCTTTATAGAATAGTTTGAAGTCAGGTAATGTGATGCCTCCAGCTTTGTTCTTTTTGCTTAGGATTGCTTTGGCTATTCGGGGTTTTTTTTGTTGAGGGGTTCCATATAAACTTTGAAATAGTTTTTTCTAGTTCTGTGAGGAATGTCACTGGTAGTTTAATAGGAATAGCATTGAATCTGTAAATTGCTTTGAGCAGTATAGCCCTTTCAATGCTATTGATTCTTCCTATCCATGAATATGGATGTTTTTTCATTTTTTGTGTGTCTTCTCTGATTTTTTTTGAGCAGTGTTTTGTTATTCTCATTGCAGAGATCTTCTACCTTCTTGGTTAACTGTATTGTTAGATATTTTATTCTTTTTCACACACACATTCTATTGGTTCTGTTGTTCTGAAGAACCCTGACTAACACATCCCTAAAGGCACAAGCCCAAGACTCCTGAAACCAAAGGAGAAGATGTGTAGAACATCTGTAGATGTGTAGAACATGTGTAGAACATGGTTTATATACACCACCAATTACACTGCACACTTTGCAAGTGATTATCCAGAGGGTTTCTAGGATATCCCTGGAGTGACCAGATGATTGCAGTGGGACTAAGGTGGCAAATTTGATTTTATATCTAAATTCATTTTTTAGATATGTTGGTATACTAAAGCTGCTTCTCCTTTTTGTACTGTGTCCTTGGTGATTCTGTCTAAAATGTGCATTTTGTTTCCCTGTTCTGTTCTAAGGAACAATTCCTCTTTGTTTTCTGTAAAATCATCTTAGTTAGTCTTAGTGTTTTGCCTGGTGTCTGACACTCCTTTTCATTGATTACTTTGTTTAGAGTCAACAGATATATAAACACACACACACACGCACACTCACGCACACACACACACACATACACAATGGATATATGCAATCTAAGAATCCAGGGAAAAATTGATTCTGTTGCTTGGAACACCATTAAAAGTAATCAGTGAAATAATTGACTTCCTTAACTCTTTTCTGGATTGAAATGAAAAATTAATAAATTAACACATAGAGTGTGCCAAATACCAAGAGGATCTAGTAACAGAAGCTGCAGGAAAGTAAGATTTATAAAATATTCCCACATATCTGCTAATTCACATTCATGTAATTCTCCCCCCAATTTTTTGCAAAGTGCTGTAGAAATGAGAAGTCTGAGTAAGAAAATGGCAATGAATTTGAATGAAAGCACCAAAATTAAGTCAACACTAAGATAGCTGGAAGCTGTGCGCTCTTCTGTTTGGTTGAACTAATTTCTTGGAAAATAACACAATGAGTCAACATGAGTAGATACACACAAATGATCTATTAGATGGATGAACCATATTGGTAGCATCTGTGCTTACGTAAGACGACTCTGTATTTTGGTCTTTAAAATATATTCTTCTCATCTTTTGACCACTACTAAAAGCAAACAAACAAACAAAATGGTGAATAAAATGTGACTTCAAAATGCCTGTCTCTTTACAAAAATGATCCAAAGAGGAAATGAAAGTTTTGAGTTCTCTGGGTTCTTGGGTTCGTTCTTCTGTCTATAAAGGGGTTGGACAAGATCAGAAGTTTCTGAGCTAAGCCAGTCACCAGGGAACCCTGGAGATAATAGCTGCACATTCCCAAGCTCCAACCTAGACTAATTAAGTTAGAATCCCCAGAAATAGAGCTCTGGAACCTGAGGTTTCAAAAAGCTTTTCTACTTTAATCTACGATAGATATATAAATCTTCTTACAGTCAAAACATCTAGCATTTTACAGAGGAAAGATGGCTGGGCTTTTTCTTCCATTTAAAAATGTATTGTAATGATAGCACTAACACAAATTATTGGAAGGGAAAAAAGGTCATCTTTATTAACTCCATTTAATATGTTGTTTTAATTCTTCCACGATGGCTAAAGACTTTTAGGAATTGCAACAACCAAAAGTAAATATTAGGAACTGATTTTATTTCAGTGTTTAGTAAGATTTAGAATATTTTCATTGTTGCAGACTCAGACTTAGTCGCGTCCCTGCCCTACCCCAAAGAAACTTCCATAGGCTCCCTGTCTTTCAGCATCAGGCCACCCTACTCCCTGTAAGAGAAGGCTGTGCTCACTTCCTTCTGGAGTACGGCATTCATTTGGCAACTCTGACCCTTCTTTGACTTAGAAAAGTCGAATTCTTCAGTTAGAAACCACCTGCTCTGTATGAGTTCATCTCTGTAGGAACTGATTGTAAGTGGGGTATGGAATTGATTGACAGTTGCATACTGAAAGTTGGTACGAATGGAATTCGCATTTTATATTTATTTCTATTGCATGTCCCCAGAGTGCCTGGCTTAGGGTGCTAAGCCATGCCGTGAAATAAAACATAAGAAAAGGAGCACAAAAGAAGGCCACATTTGGTCTGCCAGGGCCAGCAGCCCAGGATTGAGCCTCTGCACACAGCCCATGGAGCTCTCAGGGCTATTATTTTGAAACTCTGGTGTTCAAGGTCTCTTAAACATCCTTACTTCACTTAAAAACCTCTGAGTAGTATAGATACGGTCTCTCTAAAATTACCTAAACCTTCCTTGAGTTTATTCATACTTTTAACTTTTCCTACCTTCATGCTGGATGTTCCAACAATATCCTGTGACTTACCTTGTAAAGGCCTGTATCCTTTCGTTGGATCAGAAGCAATATTTTTTCTTTTTTTAATACTTCTGGGATACATGTGCAGAACGTGCAGGTTCGTTACAAAGGTGTACATGTGCCATGGTGGTTTGAGAAGCAATATTTTTTCAAGTTTCATGTGTTGACATTCTAGAGTTTAAGCCATTCTTTATCCTTTTCATCTGAGGGCACTAAAAACACATAAGGAAGAGAACAAAGTCCTCGCTTCAGTGGAGCTTACTTCTGGGGGAAGGAGACAGAACATTAAAAATCAAATAAATACATAATACAGTGGCTAGGCAGAGTCACATGGGGTGGCCAGGAGGGCTTTTCAAGGGCTTGGGCCCTGTGCAGTTGTAGAGGGCCCCGAACTCAGAAGGGCGTGCACCTGGGGCTTCATGCCCTGTAATTATTGTGTCCTGATAGTCATAATCTCATCTTTGCATCTGGTTTTGTAAGTGAAGTCTTATGGGACAATGAGGCCTGGAGTGGAGACTTGGAGCCTTGGCCCCATCCTGCCTCTTGCCACCCAGGATGAGTTCCCAGCCACCTGCTCCCGACCTTCTGGCACTCCAGGCCCCATCGGACCACCCATTCATGCATCCACCCCTTGGTCGCTGCCACCCTGTGGCCCCAGCTGGGACCTAAACAAGAGCATGGGAAGGGTCAGGAATTGGCACATATGCTCTGTGCCATCTCAGATGGGGTGTGGCCAGGGCTGTCTTCATCCCAGATTTTGTAGCACCACAGTGCCTTCAGTGGGTGACTCAATGAGGGCAAGCCTCTCTCCCGCCCCAATCTAGGTACCTAGGGCATCGTGGTGCTCACCTGTAACTTGGTGCCTACGTGCAGCTCTCTGGCTGCCAGGTTCTCCTTCCCACTGACTGCCAGACGACTGATGTGCCATGCCCAGGAGGTTGGGCCAGACATCTTTCCTTCCTTCAGGCGCCCCACCGTGGATGGGCCCCCCATGTGCTTCTGAAGGTCTGCTCTCAGTCTACAAGCATCCTGTGTTTTAGAGCATAGCATTAAATAGCAAGTTAAAAAACAAGAAATTGAGGAAGAGTTCATGAAGAAAAGAAAAAAGCTTTCTATTTTAGTACTTTTAGGAGCATTTTTCCCCTGCTTTTTGAACCAGGTGTCTTATATTTTATTTTGTACTGGGTCCTTCAGAATGTGTAGCTCGTTTTGGAGTCATGGGAGAGACAGCAATGGGTGAAGAAGCTCTGGTTTATTCAGGGTGATCAGGGACAGAGGTTCTTTCTGATACGATGTCATTTGGACAAAGGACAGAAGCAGGTGAGAGTGAGCCGTGCGAATATCTAAGTGAGAGGGTTTCAGGTAGTGCGAAGAGCCAGTGCAAAGGCCCTATGGCAGGAGTGTGCCAGTGTGTGGTAGGAGCTGCTGGGAAACCATTGTAACTTAAGCAAAAGGAACACGGGTGGAAAAGTAGAAGATGAGGTTGCAGCAGTTGTGGTGTGGGAGCCTATTAGGTAGGACATATCAGTCTATTCTAAGGACTTTGGATTTTACTTTAAAATGAAAAATCACTAGAGGTATTTTAATATGTTAAATCACTGAGGGACCTACTAAAGAATGGCTTGGTATGATTTATACTTTAGAGGAATTATCCACGAGGTCTCACTCAGCATTTGCATGTAACAGCTCTGTTCCTCTCCCATCCAACATCCTTCCCTATCCCTTTGTCTTGTTCACTCCTCCTTCATAGAGCACTTATCATCACCCTGCATATTACATGTGCCTTTATTTATCTGTCCCCTCAGACTAGAATATACACTTCATGAGAGCAGTCACTTGTTCACCAGTGTCCTTGAAGCCTGGATCATTGTCTGAGGCTTACTGAGTGCTCAACAATCATGTGCTGGTTGAAGAAATGAATAGATCCATTAGACACAGTACAGAGCATCTTGAGATTGGATAATCTAGTCCTCCCTCACCTCCACGGCCTCTGCAGCTCCTCCCCCAGAGTCTCACAGGTGCTTCCTCACCTCCATGGCCTCTGCAGCTCCTCCCCCAGAGTCTCCCAAGTGCTCCCTCATCTCCACGGCCTCTGCAGATTCCCACCCAGTATATCCAAGGTGCTCCCTCACCTCCACGGCCTCTGTAGATCCTCCCACAGAGTCCCCAAGGTGCTCCCTCACCTCCACGGCCTCTGCAGCTCCTTCCCTAGAGTCTCCCAGGTGCTCCCTCACCACCATGGCCTCTGCTGCTCCTCCCCCAGAGTCTCCCATGTTCTCCCTCACCTCCACGGCCTCTGCAGATCCTCTCCCAGAAACTCCCAGGTGCTCCCTCACCTCCACGGCCTCTGCAGCTCCTCCCCCAGAGTCTCCCAGGTGCTCCCTCACCTCCATGGCCTCTGCAGATCCTCCCCCAGAGTCTCCCAGGTGCTCCCTCACCTCCATGGCCTCTGCAGATCCTCCCCCAGAAACTCCAGGTGTTCCCTCACCTCCATGGCCTCTGCAAATCCTCCCACAGAAACTCCCAGGTGCTCCCTCACCTCCACAGCCTCTGCAAATCCTCCCTCACCTCCATGCCCTCTGCAGATTCCCACCCAGTATATCCAAGGTGCTCCCTCACCTCCACGGCCTCTGCAGCTCCTCCCCCAGAGTCTCATAGGTGCTCCCTCACCCCCGCAGCCTCTGCAGATCCTCCCTTAGAATCTCTCAGGTGCTCCCTCACCTCCATGGCCTCTGCAGATCCTCCCACAGAGCCTCTCAGGTGCTGCCTCACCTCCACGGCCTCTGCAGCTCCTCCCCCAGAGTCTCTCGGGTGCTCCCTCACCTCCACGACCTCTGCAGCTCCTCCCCCAGAGTCTCCCGGGTGCTCCCTCACCTCCACGGCCTCTGCAGATCTTCACCCAGAGCCCCCCAGGTCCTCCTTCACCTCTGCAGCCTCGGCAGATCCTCCCCCAGAGCCTCCCAGGTCCTCCTTCACCTCTGCAGCCACGGCAGATCCTCCCCCAGAGCCTCCCAGGTCCTCCCTCACCTTCATGGCCTCGGCAGATCCTCCCCCAGAGATTCCCAGGTCCTCCCTCACCTCCACAGCCTCTGCAGATCGTCACCCAGAGCCAGCAAGGCGACCCACTCCACTCATGGAAATTGTCACCGTTAAGCAGTTCTTCCAGACGTAGATCTAAATCTAACTGCATTAACCTCTATCCATGGTCCTTCCTCTGCCTCTGTCTTTCTGTTTGATTTCATCTTAAAATGTTGTCCCTGGATATCCACGTAATGTTTTTGTTTATTACAGAACATGTGGAAAGAACAGGGGCTAATAAAGTGTACTGGTCAAGAGCATGGGCTCTACAGCCTCACAGAGCTGGACTCAAACCCGACTTCCTTCACCTACTAGCTGTGTGACCTCAGAAAAGACAATTACCCTCCTTGGCCCTCAGTTTTCCCATCAATAATATGGGGACATACTATTTCTCACCAGATTGTTCTAAGAAATGAGAGAGGCAGCATTTGTGAGGTGCTTGAAACAGTGTTTAGTGGTAGTGTATGCAGTCTAAATAGGGTAGATTTTTTTAATTAAAGGAAAAGAAGAAAACAAAACTATTTTATAATCCCACCCAGATAGAATCAAAAGCAGTTCATGACAACTTTCCTTATATTTGAAGATAGTTTCGTATTCCCCACAAGGCTCCATACTGCTAAGTTAACTCTCTCCAGATCCTTGAGCCAGCACCACATAGAGCAATAGCAACTGAGTTGCACCAGGTGCTGGTCCCTCTTAGTCATCTTCCTGAATCCTTTCCACTTTATCCATGGCCTGCTTTTTACATATGTCTCCCAGAACCGGATACAACATGGGACTATCACCTCAACCTAGATTTAGACTTTTAAGAACACAGCCTGGGTTGCTGTGACTCATTTCCCCCAGGACTTTTTCTCAACTTTCCTCCTATCTTATATAATGTCTTCATCTTCAGTAAAGTATTGTACATTTATCTGGCTGAATGACATTTCATTAGTTGAATCCATAAATCTAGTCCCTAGGTTTCATTTTGAATCTTGATTTTATCATCCAGTATATGAGCTGCACACTCCACAAGCATATTTTCTGTTTATAACTATGTTCTTAATGAAAGTGTTAACCTAGGACAGGCTACCAATGACCTTTCTCATGTTTGACAATTACCCATTAATCTACATTCATCTAAATTTGCCATTTTCTAGGATATGTATTCAATTGGTCTGTAGTGATATCATAAAAATATTCTTGTCAGATGCTACGTTAAAAGCAAGACTCAACAACTCTATGGACTGAATTGTGCCATCCGCCCCACCTCGAGTTCATACGCTGAGGCACTAACCCCTAGTGTGACTGTGTTTGGAGATGGGGCCTTCAACAATTAAGGTTAAATAAAGTCATGAAGGTGGACTCCTAATCCAACAGGATCAGTGACCTTATGAAAACAAGAAAAGAAGTATCCCTCTCTCTCTTCTCCTACCCGCTGTCTCCACACTCAGGCACCAAGGAAAGGCCACGTGAGCACACTATGAGAATGCAGCCATCTGCAAGCCAGGAAGAGAGACCTCACCAGAAAATGACCATGCTGGCACGTTGCTGTTGGACTTAACAGCCTCCAGAACTGTGAGAAAATAAATTGCTGAATCCAGCCAGTCTATAGTATTTTGTTGTGGCAGCCCGATAGAATTTGAATATTTGTCCCCACCAAATCTTGTTGAATTGTAATTCCCACTGTTGGAGGTGGGGCTTGGTGGGAAGGATTTGGCTCGTTGGGGTGGGTCTCTCCTGTCTTGGTGCTGTCCTTGCGATAGTAAACCAGCGCTCACTAGACCTGGTTGTTTAAATATGTGGCACCTCCCCCAACCCCACTCTGCCTCTCTGTTGCTCCTGCTCTCCTCGTGTGAGCAATGGGCCTGCTCCTGCTTTGCCTTCTGCCATGAACAAAAGCTTCCTGATACCTCTTCAGAAGCTGAGCACGTGTTGGTGCCATGCTTGTACAGTCTGTGGAACCGTGAGCCAAATAAGCCTCTTTTCTTTATAAATTACCCAGCCTCCGGTATTTCTTTATAGCAATGCAAGAACGGCCTAACACACAGCCCAAGCAAGCTAACGCAACCATCTTTGTAACATCTTCCATAGCTTGCAGAATAATAACCCCACCCAAAAAGGGGATAAATTAAGTTTAGCGAAGTTTCCTCTTAATGAACCAATCCTGACTTCCAGGAATGATTTCTTCTTTTCTATGTGGTCACAAAACCTTTGTTAAGTGATTATTTCTAGGCTTTTTCATGGTATCAACATTAAATATACTAGTTTCTAGTTTCGAGAAGTCACATTATTTTCCTTTTGAAACGTCCAAACTTTTGACCATGTCTTATCTTCTAGCATTATTCCAGACCACCGCTATTTCTCAGAGATTGCTCTTGGTAGAGATACATGATATCACCCCTGTCATTTCTGTTAGCAGTCTGTAACTTGGCAAATGTGTAATGATACGAATCAAAACATTTGTAAGTTTCCATTTCCCCATGTCTCATTTTTGTATCCCCTGGGCCCAGCACAGTGCCTGGTCTGTGGCAGGAACTCAATAACTTTTTACTCACATGAACCCAAACTTACTGAAGAATGAATGGGGGTATCCTGTGCCAAAAATGCAGAGTTGTTAAAAGGTTTAAGGGATAATGAATGTGAATGTGGGCATGCCTAGTAAACTCTAAAGCACAATATAAAAAGTCTCAAATTCTAATCATACTTAAGGGAGTCTACCAGGAAACACAACTGGGTAATACCTCAGGGGTATAAGAGATAACAGGGAATGGATCTCGCCATACTAGAGGTTGTGTGAACCTGGCTACAGAGTATATTGGGTAGCGTCTGCTAACTATTTGTCTGATGAATGCCAACATAGACAATGGCTCAAACATCACAGACAATTACTTCTTGCTCACCCAATCTTGTTTTGGGTTGGTGCAGGGAAAAAGGAGGAAAGAGCGGGTAAGGAGACTCTCCTCCAC